ATATATAATATATAACAATATATATATATATAATATAATTTATGAAATATAGTATATAATATATAATATTTAATATATAATAAATAATGTTTAATATATAACATATAACATATAATATATTAAAAACACCTTAATATATCATCTAATATATGATGTTATATATTACATAATTATTTAAGTATGTTTCAAATCAATTCAAATCATTTATATCATCTATCCTTTGGCAGCGGACCGTCAACCAGTCCGCTGTCGCAGCGCCAGGTTCTGAGACTTTTCCTCTTCCGCCGTGCCCGTCGGAGCTGTGGGTGCCGGAGCCAGAGAAGCGACAGCAACCGCCAGCTTTGTACTTGGGCCCGGTGACGTGCTTGGAACGGAGACACGAGGCAGGATGCCTCAGATGCCATTTCGATGCAATGTCTGGAAAAAGAAAGTTTTGAAAGTCCAAAAATGCCCAGCGATGTTACGAACATGCCCAATGATTTTCCGTCATTTTTTCCATCATTGTCATATGTTCCGTCATTTTAACCGGATTTTTTTCGCATCATTTTTCTGTGTCCAGGCTCTGCAATGTTTCAAGATTGGTCTCTCGGCTGGTTCGCTTCTCTGCCATGGTCAACGGATGCATTTTCTAGCGTATACTATTATAAATCTATTATATATATACATACCAGTTATATATATACACTATTGTTTACTATTTATATACACATATTATATTACTATTATATATACATACCATATATATATACATATGCCAGTTATATATATATCATATACATCAGTTATTAATACCGTTTATCAATGATTTGGAGATTTAGATAAATAGAAACACCACCATTTTTTCGTATATAATGGATTATATACCAAAAGATGGATTATATACCGATGAAGTGGGGGGAATCATCAATCCATTTGAAAATAAACACATTTGGATTTGGTATGAAAAAACACATACCCAATATTTTTGTGGAAGGATAAATCTAAATATGAAATGGACTAGCCAATATGGAATTTGCTTATTCAGAAGATTGCCATGGTTGTGTGAATTATGGATTCCCTGGGATAGATCATACGCCACCAGGGCACGCCACCAGAGCACATGGCTGAAAGATATATGCTCTTTCATGAAGCGTGATGTGGCTGCTAAAAATCCCGGTTTATGCAGGTATATCCATGTTTATCCATGTCCAGTTTATCCAAAAATGGCTCGTGCAGGGTTTAGTACTGTCCTTGGCTTAAATGGGGTTGGTCAGGATGATCGTAGAACATCAGGACTGTGCGGCAGTGATGACGCGAGGCGTATGAAAAATTGGCCAGACGAACACATTTTTAAAGTGTGGTCAGATGTAGACAGCTGATACCCTCTGGTAATGACTAACATAACTATGGAAAATCTCCATTTTTAATGGGTAAATCCACTATAAATCACCATTTTCAATAGAAAACTGTTAAATTGCCAGAGGGTATTTATCCGGTGACTGCCCAGAAGTCCACTCATTCCAATCATTTGAACCTATTTTGGATCAAACTGATGCTTTTCTGCGATGACCAAACTCTGCATCAGCCTGGTTTGAAGTCACCACAAGCCCAGTGCTTGGCAAAACTCATGTACCTCATTCACGTATCAGGTGCTTTGTGAGGCCATAAAGGAGATACTCCCTTAATTGTTGGCCTCACACATTCTCAGACCTTACACATGGTGAGTACCTTATCTTTAGCTCTCTGAAAGTTCCCTTGAATGTTTGTGCCGACTATGACGGCACCGTCGTGAACGTTCTCAATGTGGTTTTCCCGCCATCGCTGATCACCTGTACGGCAAATATCTAAATCATCTGAATCATCTAAATCATCTAAATCATCTGAATGATCTAAATCATCTAAATCATCTAAATCATCTAAATCATCTAAATTCTAAGCTTCTACGAAGTCCCCAGAAGTCCCCAAAAACGTCCCTCCTGGCATCACACTTCTGCCTTAAGGTGCTGTGGTGCAACTGGTCGATGACTTGCCGAATCAGACGCCGCTGGGACTGCCCGGATCCATCAAGCTGCAACGGGTGCAGGTGGCCAAGATGGAGCTGGAGACATTCGAAGGTGCGGGGCACCTTTTTGACAAATCACCGATGATCCATGAGACGTCATGAAACATTCCCATAGGATCCATGGTGCTGGTATATATGCTAACATTGGGGGTATATTGATGGTAAATGTTACCATATATAGCATACATGGATCCTATGGGATTGAAACTTAGGGAGGAAACGGAGGAAGGAAACGGAGGAAATGTATGGAAATTCAGATGACGCATTGAAACATATTAGACAGAGAGGGAGATATAGTCAGGAAATGTCCTTTGCCACATCACTCGGCCAAGAGTTGGCCAAGACAGACTTCTCTTGAGATTTTGAAAGCTCAGTGGACCTGCCATAGTGGACCTGCCGCCGAATCAGGGACCGAGTTGGAGGCCCAGCAACGCACTTTAGATCTGGCGGCCAAAGTAGCCGCGTCATCGCTCGAAGCGTCTGAACGGATTTTGTCGCTACGCGTGCCGTGCTTCCTATGTGGCCCTTGGAGTGCAGTGGTATCCCGTCCTTGAAAGGGTGGTTGTGGTGGCGGCGCTTGGTGCTTGTACCATGAAACCTTGTATGCAGATGTCAATCATTATTTTGGGGTAGACATGAAACCATTGTGGTATTAAATATATTACATATAATATATATACATATAATAATATATATATATATCGTATATATATAATATTTATAATATATCGTATATATATAATATTTATAATATATATTTATATAATATATATAATATGTAATATATATATATAATTAATATGTAATATATATATAATGTATATATATATATATATTATATAATATATATATATGTATGGTTTTCATATATTACTGTATACACATACACATATTTCAAGTGAAAAGGAGACGCAATGGATTTGTCCAAGTGCCGTTTTTTGGGCAACCATTGGCAACCCCATTTCTTCAGATCTTTGCAGACAGAGATCCGGACCAAACAACAAAGCTAAATACCAGGCTAATGCAGAGTTTGGTCATCGCAGAAAAGCATCAGTTTGATCCAAAATAGGTTCGAATGATTGGAATGAGTGGACTTCTGGGCAGTCACCAGCTAAATACCCTCTGGCAATTTAACAGTTTGCTATTGAAAATGGTGATTTATAGTGGATTTACCCATTGAAAATGGTGATTTTCCATAGCTATGTTAGTCATTACCAGAGGGTACTCAGGACAAGAATAACAGGAAACGAGTTCAATGACCGTACGTCTCAAGCGGCCCTGTTTGGAAACTTATAGATATGCAGTAGATATGTATCTTTAATCGCACAAAAGACTCAGGTGGCAGCGCTTGCATTGAGGAGGATTTTAGTCTCCGAGTTGAGGACTTGAGATGCCCAAAATCCAGGAAATGATGGTTTGATCTCTTCATATCTCTTCCGTAGGCCCAGGCAGGACAGGAACACCATTGGCACTCTTTGAGGAACTGAGGGGTTCGCAGATTTCCGAGCAGATTTCAAGGACCATCTGTAACCGCTAGAAAGGCTCAGACAGGTCATAGTCTTAGGTGGATCCTCAGGGAGATTTAGCCATGGATTTCACCATATTTCACAGCTTGAGAGGACTACTGAAGAGCTCTGTGGATTCTTGAAGGATCGATGTTCCTTGGAAGCGAAGGCTCGCTGTATCCTTGCTCTAGTGTAGCTTGATACTGATAAATTGATAGCGTATCCGCATGCCTTGCTGCTCTCCTCAAACCATTGTTCTGCGGGGCGCCCGTTCTGGGCAAGAAATACAGCAACAATCTTGCTCACACTTGTCCCAAAGCCTTACACAACTTTCCGTCCCCCAACGCTTCACTTTTTAGGAATCTAGCCATGTGCTACTCCGTATCTCCATTCTATGACATTTTTGGCCCTGATTGTAGCACCCTTTTGGTTTTTCGATGTACCCTCTGGTAAACTAACATAGCTATGGAAAATCACCATTTTTAATGGGTAAATCCACTATTTCGACTGGGCCATTTTCAATATAGCAAACTGTTACTCATAGTCATTACCAGAGGGTAAACATCCACCTCCAACTCCAAGGTGCGACAACGGCTCTTCCACATGTTGCTATCCTTGCCTTAAACCTGGCCCTTGGAAGTCCGTCGCCCGAGTGCTTGGCCTTGGCTGTGCCGGCACAAGCAGCACAGCTGCGTCAACGTCTCGGTGAGGAGGCCGCTACGGTGCCGTTGAAGACAGCTCCCTGGCTTTCATGGTTTGATGGTTTGAGAATTGGCTGGTGGTTTGGAAGATTTCTTGGAACATGACGAATATATGACTTTCCATATGTTGGGACTTATAATCCCAACTGACTGTTATTTTACAGAGGGGTTGAAACCACCAACCAGTTGGGGATATCTGCAGATAGCCTCTGGCTATTTCACAAGGGTCCATTTCTAGGGAATTTATGATGATTTTGTTGATAAAAAATGGTGATTTTCCAGTTCGCTACGTTAAATCACCAAATGGTACACCAATCAAATAGAACATTTGGATCTATTTATCATAGAATGAGTACCCTCTGGTAAACAGACAAAAAACTATGGAAAATCACCATGTTTAATGGCTAAATCAACTATTTCGACTGGGCCATTTTCAATAGCAAACTGTTAGTCATTACCAGAGGCTAAATCCCCATCATCCATTATTCATCCAGGATTATTGGTTGTTTTGCCCTTGTTTTCCCCCTATCTTTCCATGATTTTCCCATGATTAACCAATATGTCGTCCCCTCACTGGGACGATCAGCTGCACCGCTGCGCAATGGGGCGCCGCTGCGCCGCTGAAAAAATGCGGCGTTGGAAGACTGCCGTGAGTCGTGGAGCCGCTTGGCTGACATCTTCCTCGGCTGAAACAGTTCACCAGGTTAGGCATGCAAGTTCCAATGCGAACCGGAACTGAGGTGCTGAAGATTAGAAATGGCAGCCACCCACCGTCATCAACTAGTACTTTAGATACTGATAACTCAGAACTTTGAGCACTGCTTAGCTTCAATTTGACCAATCTGAGCTTTTCGCCTTAGTAAACAAAGCCCCCAGTTCAAGCACTGGTTCAACCCAGCCTAGGTCTGCAAGAACTTCTGAGTGCCGAGGCATCGACATCACCAGACTTGTGACATTGATCCAAATTGAGAAGATTCAGATCTATGATCTATGGCGGATGATCGGGGATCATTTACAGATCATTTACAGATCAAGATTCATCAAGATTCTACGTAAGTTTCAGAAAACATGATCAAATGGCCAGACCTCTGCCGCGACACCTGGCTCAGTGGGGTCTTGGCGCTTGGCAAGGACGCGGTTCGCGTTTCGAAGCAATGGCTCGTCGGTCGCCTTTAGCAGTCGTACTGGCGCTTCTGGTGCTCCAGTGGCATGGGGTTTTCCTGACGGTGTCTGACGGTTAGTGGTAAGGGTTTAGGGCAGCAGTAAGCCACGGAAATCTCCAAGCTCTTGAGCTTCTTTTTGTTTTGTTGGTTTGTTTGCTTGCTTGTTTGTTTGTCACTATTGTCCATCCACATCGAAGGTTTTTGTGCATTTACTCTCACTTGCTGTGATGAAAGAACTAGGAACATCATGTGAAGAACCTGGCCGTAAACGGTTAGAGTACAAAGTAATATGATAATGAATTCTATTTGAATCTATTTGATATCTAAGAAACTAACACCATATGACAATATATTTAAGCGCTTACGCGCGACAGCCGGCCAGGGGCCCATGTTGAGGTGATAGGGGTCGAGCAGGGAGCAAGAGCTCAAGGCTATGTTGCCCCATCGGGAGAGTATGTAGGTGCAGGGCTATCGGGGGGTAGCTTGGGACTAGGTGCGATGGTGGCCTACCTTGAGGGTGGAGGTGGTGGAAATAGAGTTGTTTGTGTTGTGGTTGTGGTTGTGCTTGTGCTTGTGCTTGTGCTTCTTGTTTTGTTGTTGTTGTTGTTGCTGCTGCTGCTGTTGTTGTTGTAGTTGTTGTCGTTGTTGCGGTTGTCGGTGTTGTTGTTGTTCTGGCTTGTTGTGTGTGGTTTGTGGTTTGTGGTTTGTCGTTTGGGGTTTGGGGTTTCTGGTTTGTGGTTCGTGGTTTGTTGTGAACGGCTTGGGGCTATATGGGCCCATCTTGGGGCTATGTTGGCCTATCTTGGCCCATCTTGGGGCTATGTTGGCCTATCTTGAGGGCAATTTGGGCCCTTCTTAGGGCTATGTTGGCCCATCTTGGGGCTATGTTGGCCCATCTTGGACCCATCTTAGGGCTAGGTTGGCCCATCTTGGGGCTATGTTGGCCCATCTTGCGGCCTATGTTGGCCCAGGTTGACCCATCGTAGGCCACAAGAATCGAAAAATGGGAACAGCAAAAAACACCGTAAAGCGCGGGAGTTTTTGATGGTACCGGGTAGGTCGGCGGCAGGGGCGGCGGCCCCTCTCTCCTTCGGAGAGGAGAGAAGGCCTACGGCAAGGACACGGCCAGCTCCCGGCCCCACTGGCCCCTGGCCGGATTTTATTAAAGGGCTACGTCCCCTGCCACCGATCCCAGAAAAGTTGACTGTGGGTCTGTGACTTTCACGCGTTGCACTGGAGTCATGTCTTGTGTTTCAGCCAGGGGCGAAGCTGATTCCTGGGGTCCCAGCCTGGACAGCTGGGAAATCACCAGCAAAACCATGGGAAAGTCCTATGGGAAAGTCCTAGGCAACTAGCAATTGCTCGCACATCCTCTGTGGCTCAGAAAATCTCATAATCCTAGTCCAACATGGGCGATTCCATTTCTGCAGAGGCCGGGGGTACACGGCACCGGATGGGCGTGGCCCTGCATGGAATTGTTTCATGTAGTGCACGGGATAGTTCTTGATTTGCCAGAACCTGGCATTGACATCAGGCGGAGCAGCCAGCTGAAGATCCAACGGGCTGCTTGTTTCCAAGGGACGGGTTGGGCTGGGATTGAGCTGGGATGAACCTGATCGCCCCTCCAGTAAGTTAAACAGTTTGCTATGGTGATGGCCGATTCAAAGATCTAACATGGGGAGGTTGTTTTTCTTGAAGGCTATGTTATATTGGGGTCAGATGACATGGGAATAAGTGTTTTTTTAAATACCCCATACTTTGAGCAGAGGGCATGAGCATGATTTTGACCTGACACATGTGCAGGCACATGACTTGAGAGTTGTTGACCCCGGGTCACCCTTTGGCCCATTATCCCAAGTTATATACTCGAAGGAAGTTTAGAAATCAACCTTCCGACAACATGGACAGATGAAAAAGCAGAGGTGGGAAGACTCAGAGAAGAGAAGAGAAGAAGCAAGAAGATCAGAGAAGAGAAAGAGTCAGAAGAAAGAAGATGCAGGTGTGCCAAAAGGTAGACAAGTCGCGAATCACTGTGTTTTTACAATGATTTGTGGCTCCGGAGGGTCGAAAAGTAGGCTCCCTAAATTAAAGCGGCGGGTGCAGAGCAATCTGGCCAGATGAGAGATGAACAATTGCACGCCGTTGTGGCGCGAAGCACATTTCGAAGTAAACACATACAAAACACACCAACGCCGGAGCGCTTTTGGAAGTTATGATGTGGAAAAAGTGCACGCCGTCGTGGCGCGAAGGACAATTTGGAAGGAACAAGTGTAAAAAACTGACGGTCGCAGACCACTTTTGAAACTTGAGATTGCGTGAAGCACATTTCGAAGTCAAAAGTGAAAAAACGGTTGCGGAGCATTTTTGGACGTTCAGATGTCGTTTTGCGTGGCAGGCGCAAGGGATTGTGCACCTTGTCAAAAGGGAGCAAAACGTGACGGGTTTGCAGCAGTTTCAAAACTTTGGGTGGGACATTTGTACAAGAGACAGAGATGTGCGGGGGCCGGGCGCTGATCAGATCTTCATGTTTGGTACGATGATTTGGTGTGACATTGGTTGTAATCTTCTTGGATGATGATGTCGAATTGGACCGACGAAGTCGTCATATCTCAGAGAATACCAGGGGACTCGTTGTTCAGAGTGTCAATGAGTCTTCCTGGGATACACTCCTTGGGCCTTTCTCCTTATTCATTTCATTGTCCAATTTGATTTCGTGCCGGGAGTTCTTTTTCCTGAGCTGGGTTTTGGTACCTTGGTTCAGCGTTTTCGCAAACTGTGGCTACAATTCCTACTTGTTGCCTTCCCCCGGGCTGGGCCAGAAACGGGGGCTGCGAAACACGCCGCACCATTCGGCCTCAAAACCTTTAAAGCTTTCAGGATTCAACATGCATTTAAATACGCCTTTCAAGGTTCAGCTTTGGGCGGCCATGTTTCAAGCCTCCATGTTTTGCAATCGTCAATCTTTGGGCGGTTCGCATAATTTAGACATAAATGGAAACCTGACTGGTCTTTGATTTGCAATTATGAACGATAATTTCGAAGGAGCCGCGCGTCGCGAGCTCAGCGGGATGAGTCTCATTAGTTGCCTGCAAGGACAATCAGCCAGAGGGAAAAAAATGTAAGGCGGAATGCTGTCACTAGAATTATGTTGCGTGTTTGCTGTCGGGCCACATCCTAATTTGCGCGGATGCAATTGACATGTGAGACATCATGTGTTATATGCCCATCGGTAGAGAGAATGTGGCGTGTGAAGTGTGCAGTTTGCTCGGAGACAGGTATGAACCACACCTGGGAATTTAATCCTTGTGCGGTTGGTGTGGATGACCGGTTGACGGGTCACATTTAAGCAGGCGGGCTGAAAAGAATTGGCAAATGGCCGTGCGTGTGGAGAAGCTGTGCGCATGGACATGCTGGCATTTGTCATGGGATGGTACAGGAACGCAGGATGATAAGATGATAGAAAGTTGAACGCGTGCGCAAGAAAATTGGTACGGTGAGTGCAACTGAAATGCGGTGTTGCTAGGCCTGTTGGAAATGTTGGGGGAGCCTGCGGGGGCGCCTTCGTCTGACAGCAGGCCACCATGTAAGAAGCAGAAGGAATTGAAATTGTCTTTGGTATCCCACAAAGACCCATTTCCCTTCAGCTAAAAGCACCAGAGGCATTTCATGAATAACCAATGAGTGTGACATTGATGATGGCAACTAACCCCTCTGTTCCAATGATTGACGAATTAATTCATGATTTTGTGATAACAACCTGGAGATTATCTTTCACCATTATGTCAACTACTGTGTCGGTCCAACATTGCAATGTTTTTCGTGAGGACGATCGCAACTCCGACGACCGGGGAAGCTGCAACAGAGTGGGCGTGCACGTGGGAATGCAGGTGCCGCACGGTGATTTTTTTAATGCTCAAATTGGAAGCTGGTTGAAATACGAGATTGTTGGTATTTGAAGTCTCGAGGTAAAGAATTGGTGTTCAAACAAGGATTTGCAACCTGGTATGGAAACATTCGGAGCAGAGATACCGGAATCAAATGGAACGGTTTGATGGTAGCCTGGAACAAGGGTTTATTCCCATGCATTGTTTTTTTTCACTCTGAACCTTCTGCACCGCGCAGTACTACTGGTAAAGTGAACGGTTTGCTTGACCAACGTATTTTGCCAGGGAACAGCTGCTGGGCAGCGGCAGTGCTGCACATGGTCAAGACTGCGTTCCGCGAGGAACCTCCGGCAGCAGAGGAGCACGGATCTGGACCGATATTTCACTTGAAGACACTTGAAACACACCTTTTCCACCATGCCCCACGGGTAACAAACATATTTTCACTGGTTTTGCAAGTTTATGGTCCCCTGAAACACCAATAGCTCAATGGATGTAAGCCCGTTTTTTATTGTAAGGAGCGTGCGGGACGGCCCAAGAGGCTTGATTTTCGACCTCCGGTCCAAAAAATGACCTGTTAAACATGCGTCATTGCTAGATTTTTACATTGCATAAGGCCACCAATTGTCAAATCTCAATCACGGTTCAAACAGATCATTGGCAGAAGCACTAGTACAGGCATAGCTATCTATGGATTATATATTGGGCTAGCGGCTAGCCCCCCGCCCAGTAACAGTTCAAAAAATGGTTTTGTAATATTGAAAACCTATTCAAAAAAAAACAACGGAAGTGAAACCCCAAAATGGTCTGCATAAACGGCTGCTGTGGTCATTTTTTTGTGTTTGACCAAACTTGTGCCAACTTCTCTGCTAACTCACCCTGTGCCACACCACCCCTCCACTCCACATCAACTCACATCCTCCACACATACATCCACCTCCAGCCCCCTCCTCTCTTGGCAGCAGCTACGAAACAATTTTGAAGGAAAAAAGCACCAGATGATCACACATTTTGCACCAGATGAGCACAAATTTTGCACCAGCTTGACCACAAAAAAGCACCAGAGAAGCACCATTTTTTTAGCCAACCTAAGTCATTTTCCTTCTCGACTGCGCTGCTGCGGCAGCATGAGCAAATTTTGCACCAGCTAGGAGCACCATTTTGAAGAAAAAACGCCAGATGAGCACAAAATTTGCACCAGATAGGAGCACCATTTTGAGGAAAAAAGCGCCAGATGAGCACAAATTTTGCACCAGCTAGGAGCACCATTTTGAGAAACAAAAGCACCAGATGAGCACAAAATTTGCACCAGCTGGGAGCACCATTTTGAGGAAAAAAGCACCCGATGAGCACAAATTTTGCACCAGCTAGGAGCACCATTTTGAGAAACAAAAGCACCAGATGAGCACAAAATTTGCACCAGCTGGGAGCACCATTTTGAAAAAAAAAAGCACCAGATGAGCACAAATTTTGCACCAGCTAGGAGCAACATTTTTTTTTTCCAAAAGTCCAATACTAAAACAGTAAAACAGGTACATAGGGGGAGCGCCACCAAAAAAGCACCAGGTGAGCACAAATTTTGCGCCAGCTAGGAGCACCATTTTGAGACAAAAAGCACCAGATGAGCACAAATGCAGTGCAGGAGGGCAAGGAAAATGAAGATTTGGAGCTAGTTTCTAGTCAGTTTAGAAAGCAACGTTTCCATGGTGTTTTGGCCCTGCGAGAGGGTCCTTTTACCAGCCCAAAAACTGCCGCAAGGCCAGAATCTTTCCGCACTCTGGTAAAAGGACCCGCTTGCTTGCTCTTGCAGCTTGCCTTCTTCTTTTGGATGCTGCCGTCTTTTGCCTTCTGCTTCGCTACTTGCACCTTGCTTACCTGCTCTTGCGGCTTGCTTTCTGCTTTGCTCAGCTTCTTTCTTTAGCTGTCGCTTCTCGCTGCTTTGCATCACTGTTACGGTGTGCTTTCTGCGTTCGCCCCCTTGCTTCTGCGTCTTGCTGGTTATAGTTGCTTCCTTTTGCGACTACTTTTCTTCTTGCAACTTGCTTGCTTCGTCTTCCTTTTGCGACTAACTTTCTTCTTGCAACTTGCTTGCTTCGTCTTACTTCTAGTTTCTTGCTCGTGCTCTTGCGACTGGTTTTCTTCATCCATCTCTTGCGCCATCTCTTGTACCCTCTTCTCTGACGCATTCCCCCTGCTGTCGGCAGGGGTCGGCGGATAATACATGATATATATATATATATAAATTATATATATATATATATCCGATGCAATTATGCCAACTATGATATATATATATATATTGTGTATGGTACATAGTATGATATCTTTTGTACGATATGAATCATGATACATATTTATATATATATATTTTTTTTAAATATATATAAAATATACAATTTGTAATATTTTTAACACACAATGTATGATATTAGATCAAAATAACATGATTGATATTGTACAATAATACAGAATAATAAAATATAGCACAAGAACATACGATCCAAAAGAAGTGTATACCATGTTTTTTTTTTTTAAATGTATATATATATATATACATATGTATGAACTCTATATACACATCTTGTATATCTCTCATATATAATTGTTTTACATTATAAATTTGACCTTTTATATAAACATCTTACATATACAATATTTTATGTTATGCATATTTCTTTCTTATATATATATATATATCTTTTTATATATTTATATCTTACATATGTCTTTTTATATACTGTATATGTTCTAGAAATCTTACATATCTTCCGTATATCATATATATCATATGTATTATATATCCTGTATATGCAATAAAATTTATGTATCCTAATTTTCTAATATATCTAATATATCCAATAACTCTAATAACTTTTATATGTTTTATATCTTTTATATTATACATATTTTGAAATTTTGTATCCTTTATATCTATTATGGCAGAGATATCTTTTATTTTTGAATCTTTTATAATTTTTCCCCACCTGCCAGGTGAGGGTTGTTAGATTTTATGTCAGTTGCCTCCTCGTCCTCCTCCTTCTCCTCCTCCTCCTCCGCCTCCTCCTGCCTCGTCCTCCTCTCCTCCTCCTCCTCGTCCTCCTCGTCGTCCTCGTCGTCCTCGTCGTCCTCGTCGTCCTTGCTCACCTGCGACCCGCGATCCACAGTGTTCTCTGCCGGACCTCAACCACGACCATCCACGCCCAGTGTTCCCTGCCGGACCTCAACCACGACCATCCACGCCCAGTGTTCCCTGCCGGCCCTCAACCACGACCATCCCCGCCCAGTGTTCCCTGCCGGACCTCAACCACGACCATCCACGCCCAGTGTTCCCTGCCGGACCTCAACCGCGAGTATCCACGCCAAGTGTTCCCTGCCGGACCTCATGTAGGAAGATATGGGACAAAGAATTTGCAGAAGAAAGTTAGAAAGAATGTCAGAAAGAATGTCAGAAGATATGCCAGAAGATATGCCAGATAGAATGCCAAATAGAATGCCAGATAGAATGCCAGAAGATATGTCAGAATATATGCCAGAAGATATGCCAGATAATTAGAATGCCAGATAATATGCCAGAAGATATGCCAGATAGAATGCCAGATAGAATGCCAGAAGATTTGCCAGATAGAATGCCAGAAAATATGCCAGAAGATATGCCAGATAGATATGTCAGAAGATATGCCAGATAGATATGTCAGAAGATATGCCAGAAGATATGCCAGAAGATATGCCAGAAGATATGTCAGAATATATGCCAGAAGATATGTCAGATAGAATGCCAGAAGATATGTCAGAATATATGCCAGAAGATATGCCAGATAGAATTCCAGAAGATATGTCAGATAGAGTGCCAGAAGATATGCCAGATAGAATGCCAGAAGATTTGCCAGATAGAATGCCAGAAGATATGCCAGATCATATGCCAGATAGAATGTCAAATAGAATGTCAGAAGATATGTCAGATAGAATGCCAGAAGATTTGCCAGTAAGAAAATGTATAAATGTCATGGTGGGGATCACACGAAGTAAAGTAATTTTTCTTATATATAGCATCTTGCGTATTGTATATCTAACTCTTCTTTATGTATATATATATATATATTATAATATATTTTTTTTTTATATCCTGTATACCTTGTATATTCATTAGTTATCACGTATCCTTTATATATTTTGTATTTTTTTTAAATCTCATATATCTTTTATATCTTTTGTATCCTATATATCTTTTAGATATCGTATATATATATAAATTATTACATATATATGTATCCTTCATATCGTTTATATCGTATATATCGTTTCTATCTTTTATATCTTAATTACCGTGTATATATGTGTACAAATATGTTATTTCCCATATATCTCTTAGATCTTATGTATATAAATATATATATATATATAATTATGTATTTAATATCGTTATATTATATAATGTATTATTTTTGTACATTACATGTACATGCAGAGCTGAGGCGCTGCTCTGCGCTCCTACCTTTGTGGTTCCAAGTGGCTCCATGGGAAGCTCAACGACCGAGAAGGGCCCCCTCCTGGCCGCAGGCGGGGCTGGCGATGATCAAACCTCGGATACCCTCTGGTAGTTTAACATAGCTATTCGTCAATCATGGGAAAATCATGGGAAGATAGTGGGAAAACAAGGGTAAAACAACCAATAATCCTGGTTGAATAATGGATGATGGGGATTTACCCTCTGGTAATGACTAATAGTTTGCCATTGAACATGGCCATAGAAATCGTTGATTTACATATGAAAAATGGTGATTTTCCATAGTTATGTTAATTTACCGGAGGGTATATTTTGATGGGGTATGTAATTATATACCCTCTAGTAAATAAACATTTTCCCTGAACACAACCATTGTTGAAGTGGAAACTAGTCTTCCAACTCCTATTTGCCAGGGTCTATGTTAATTTATTGGAGGGTATCATCATAATGATAATGTTGACAAGAACGATCATATTGACAAACATGACAAGAATGATGAGCATGATCAGAATGATCAGACTGATAATAACAGAAACAAATGGAATATATCATACTACATGTATGTATATATATATTAATGAGACCATTTTTTTGCTTTAAACAATAATGATAATAACGGGAAATAATAGCGGGAAATATCACCAACAATATGAGATTATATAGGGTTTGTCTAAAAATGAGGGGATGAGAAGGCTGATAACCACCATGAACCTTAGGGGTGCAGTTGATTCAAGTATTCCCAAGTATTCCTTCTAATTACTTAGATGGAAAAAAACAAATGACCTTCATAACTAGATGTAACAGTCACTGGCAAATCATGGAAAATCCACAAGATTTTTAGCCGCAAAGATCTCTGTTTTTGAGGATCCACATCCAACAACTCCACTAGGCGGCGCATTGATGGTGGCCTCTATGCCTGCGCCGGCCTACGCTGGTGGCATGTCCCCTGGTATCCGGGTGTCGCATGGTGGTAGGGCGCATGGTAGCTGTAGGGTAGAAGTACGAATGCAGTTTTCACTGCATCACAGAGGATTAAAACCATTTTTGAAAGATATCCTTGTGACAATACTAGGCAACCTTCAAAGCACCCCATGAATCTGTTGCCCATCGAAATTCAGGTGAATCCTCAAACATTTCAAACATGGGAGAGCTGATGTCATCTGCAACAATTGACATCCTGGGGGTGAGCTGGAAACTCGAGGTTTTTAAATGTTTGAAGAAAAATGGGGGACCAATGGAAATGGATAGAAATGGCTATCCGGAGTATGTGATGGATATCAAAACAAGGACTCTGTTTTTTTACATGCCCCATCTTTCGATGGGTTTCATCTGTTTTCGTAACCGTGTAACCAACAGCCGCAGAAATGGCTATGGGTCAATACCTATACATACCATTTTTAGTGGGATGAACATCCATAAATCCCAGCTATTTTGATGTGAACTACAGGGGTACCAGGGGTTTGACCCATCCCCAAATCCACAGCCGCGCCAGGAGGTGGATGAGCGCAACGCCAAGTTGCTTCAGACTCTCTCCGAGGCCACTGATATGTTGGCGAAGGCGGACGAGATGCAGGTCCGGTCCCTGGCAGAAGTTCAACTTTAAAGACACCCAACAAAAAACCAGGGGCAAAAAAAGGTTGAATTGTTTGAGGTCTCAGGAAATATATGTTTTATAAATGTTGTTTTACTTCGGTTGGACCGGGTGACACAAAGGCTCAGTTCTGAATTTACAAGGTATGATTGTGAGATACTTCTGGTGCTATGTTTATAAAGCAGACAATCCTCAAGCACAAGAACCTCATATTTTGAAATTGCGGAGAATCCCATGAAATTTTCAGAGACCCTGCATGTTTTTTTTTGGTATGTGATTTCAAGAAGGTTGACGCCATGTGAAGAGGCTCAAGGAGCTGAACAATGGTGTCAGAATCGGTGAAAGTTGTCGCGTTGAAGTTGCACCTTGTATTGGAAGATTGTATGGGAAGGCGTCAACATAAAAAAAAGATGGATTTTGACTCATAGCCAAGTCTACAGATGTTTCTATGGACATATACAAAACAAAAACCAAAGATGTCTATATATACATCATTGATATATACACATATTGATATCATATATCTTGGGCTAGTGCCCAAAAAATCATGCCAGATTAGGGGACTTAGTCTGGCAGTCCGGGGCTGGACTGGTGGTTTTGTAGGTGACATACACGGCCGACATCAAGGAAGCTCGAGAGAAGGCTGCCAAGGACACACCGCGGGAGGTCTGAGAGGATAAGGGAAGATGACAAACAGGTGGATTTAGGGATAGCCTAGTTTCAGACCCCAAGTGGGAGGTGCCAAGCGAGTTGCATGTCATGTCGTGCAAAAGACGACGGCATATTATGCATTTCAACCTGAACAATAATTGTTCACACGACTTGACTGGGAAGTCACAGGAGACTTTTTGGTTGCCTGCTGCATAGCATAGAAACAATTTCGAACATGACTACCAGCAGTCCTCACGTCGGTGTTGGGGAGATCTTGGGTACAGAGGTTTGTCGAGGTCGCTCCACGGCTGGGTAAGCTGTGTGACATGAGCTACTGTCAGAAGCAAGAAGGGCTTAGGGATGCTTAGGGGGTCTGAACTTGATCCATAAAATTCCATGAACTCACAGGTTTATTGTCTCCACTTGTGACGCAATGTCGGGTGAGATTTTAGGGGCTGCTCATAAATGTTGGCAATGTTTGCTGTAAACAGATGGTGTTGTTTTTTTCATGCCATCACACTCACAGTGGAGTAGCTCAGTCTCGCTGCAAACGGATGGAGATCCTCGACTTGTCCTGACAAGCTGCCGAGTTTTTCGTTTTCACCATCGACCATCGGTCGTTGATTTTGGAGATGGGGTTGGGGAGCCATTGTAAACAATAACAGGTCGCAAGTCACAAGTCACAAGTCACACAGCTATTTTCTCATCCTTTTCCCATCCTCTTCCCAGCGTTTTCAGCCCGTGGTACAGCTGAACGGCCAGGAGTTGGCCGATGCTCGCAAGGCCACAGAGGAGGCGATTGCCAAGGAAGCCGCGGCGGCTGATGCTGTGAGGGAGGCCGAGGCGATGGCTGCGCTGCGATGGCAGGGATGGAATTCGGAGAATCCAATCCTGGTTGGTGGTTTGGAACATTTGGATGATTTTTCCATATATTGGGAATGTCGTCATCCCAACTGACGAACTCATATTTTCCAGAGGGGTAGGGCTCAACCACCAACCAGAATCTTTTCATCGTCTTTTTGCCGTTCCTGTTGCACTGGCGATGCGAATCCTGTTTTCGAATTTCTCTTCTGAATGGGATCCCAATTCTAATTCTGGACCTTGGGCCGTTGGGAAACGATCGGCCAAGAATGCTGCGTTTTAGGCCAACAAGTTCAGGGCGAAGCTCGATGCTGAGATGAAGGAAAAGATGGCCAACGCCGAAAGTACCATCCAGGTCACGCCCAGGGCGCCGGGCGGCATATATATATATATATATATATATATACATATATTTCCAGGATTTTCCAGGTACCATCTGGTTATATTTAACATAGCCATGGAAAATCACCATGCTATTAATAGGTAAACCATCTATTTCGATTGGGGCCATTTTCCATGGCTATGTTAAATAACCCAGAGGGTAATAGATATGATATACATGTTGTCTCTATTACTGTACCTTTAAGATCCTTCAAGGGAAAGGGGACTTGGGAAGCCTTTTGTCATGGAGTTGTAGTGTTTTTTTTCAGCCCCAGGCACATGACCCACCATTTTTTATAGCCTCCCATAGAGGATGGCGGAGCTTGGCTGATGTTTGGGTCGAGGACTAGCAACCTTCAACGTGACCCACCATGGAAAACTGTAGAACACTGCAGAAATCTCCCCATACCAGAGGCACAATGAGGCACACTGCAGAAATTGATCACTTGTCAGGAGAGACAAAAGGACTTTGTGAAGCAGTCTTTGGCAGCCGTTGGTCTCTGAGTGCGCCACAAATCACTCACAGCCGCCACGGTATAGGTTGAGTGGAGAGACCCTGGGCCCAATTGAATGATGGAATGATGGAATGTTACATCTGAAATCATCTGAAGATAGTTGGTCCGAGATTTTCCACGGATTTTGTATGGAGTCCGAGCTGGCGAAGTCACCAAAACATTGGAATCATTGGGCACTTTAAAATGTCAGTCCCAAGATGCCCCATGTCCCAAGTAACAACAAGACATGCTTAGGACACAACATACACAGCTGGTGACAACATCATCCATGTGTCAAGTAATCCCAGCGGCATCATTCATGATTAGATGTCTTGGCACATGTGCGGATCCTCTTCATTGTGCCACTTTTTCCCACGACTTGGTCGCTCTGTCACGGGCAACAAAAAGGGCGGAATCGGGCCGCGTTCACTGTGCCAATTCAGCTGAACAGATGTGCACAGTTGGGCATGAGCCATCTCCACAATTTTCATAGGACTTTGTATTTTTTCTACTTTGGATATGATATACATGACATCCGCCATATCTGTTCAGTTTGTCTCTTCTGTGAACAAAATGATGATGGTTTCTGGGACTTGCACATGTATTCAACACAGGCCTTGACCAGCTACCCCCAATTGGTATTCCCATGTATTCCCCTATGATTAGGGAGCAGGTGGTATTCAGGGCAGATGTTGAAAACCAGATGACGAAATGGCCAGGCTGAAGAGAAGTGCTCAAAGCCCCCCCGCTGATGTCCCGGATGAGTTGCAGATGCTGCAACTCCTGGGGACCTATGATCAGCTGCAGCGAAGAGATTGGTCGTGCATTTTTGATGTTCTTGTTTGGGATGATCCCAGCGTGATTCAACATAAAAGTACTCATTCACTTTATGTTATGAAATCCTACTGCTGCGTTTTACGCAGGGAATGAAGGAATGATCCATAATCACTAGTAATAATCATTCCATTCCCCCAGTCCCATCCATTCCCTACAAAGCACCAGTAAGTATTGTTGTCTTTGCCTGGTGAGACACTTTGTAAGATCTCTGGCACGGGTTGACAAAGATGCTGGCGCTGTCAGAAAGCTGATCCAGCCCGATGATGTTGCTACTGTACCTTCAATCTCTTCACGACCAATCTCCAAGGTACCTTGCAACATAGCCCTTGTAACCCCCCAGGTTAGCGTTTTCGCAACACCACAGGTTTTTCGGAGACTTTTTCATCAACCTGTGCCCAGGTTCGGAGTGTCTTGGAAAAGGTCTTGGCTCAGCCATCGGAAGAACGCTTCAGGCGTTTGAAAGCCAGTAATCCGCGTGTTCAACGCGAGGTGCTCGCGCATCCCGAGGCGAGGAAGTCCGCAAGTCCGCTGGTTGTCACTGGATTCCAAAGGATTTCCCCCAAACATTGGAGAATCTCTGAGTTTTGTCCTATCCATTCAGGCGATCACCGCCAAAATGGATGAATCATGATGAATCAGGCAATTTTTGGTTGTTTAACCCAGGTTTCTGATGTTTTCTGGTTATGGTATCCCCATGTATGGGATCCTGCCGTCAGGCGGTGCTGCTGCTTCACTTGGCGGGTTTCACCACCATCTCCAGAGATCTGGTGCTGCCCGGCACTGCGGCCATGGGGCCACTGCGGCAGGCGCGATGGTTTTGGATTGGTCAAGGGGATGCGAAGATTTTCAGAGATTTTTCATGCCAAGATATGCCAAGAATCAACGATAAAAAAAAATGAGTTTTAGAACCGCTAGATCTTGATAAGGAGTGAATCATTCATATGTTTTTTTTTTTTCGGATCTAAAAAAAAACTCAGTCAGATTGGCTGTGATTATCTGGCTCAAATTTGTACACATCCTTTTGGTACGGCCTAGCCATTGGCAGGGACACAATCGGTAGAATTGGTCGCCCCAGCGATCAAAGGGGGGGTGCTGAATTCCGATGGGCATACCGTGGCATACCGACCCCCAAGCGGTTTTTGTTCATGGGCTAGTTTTAAAAAAACATTGGGTGAATCCCACATATAGTGGTCTTTTCAACCCTATTTTTTGGGTGTTTTCCAATGTTTTCCAGTGACAGTAGGGACTTCCAATGACCAAGGGTTGGCTAACCAGGTACGCCAGGTATGTCCATGATGCCATGATGCCATGGTGCCAGGTGCTCCAAAGTGTGTAACTGAGCACTGCTGACGGTGAGAATCGCCAGGTCGCGGTGGCTGGTCCAACAGCATGGCAAATAAATCATAGAATACAACAGAATCATTATAATCCTAATATATCAATATAAATAAATATGAATTCATATCTGGTACCAGATATAATACAATAGAATCATTAGTCAATTCAGAATTGTACAAGAAATCAACAAGACAACACTTTTTTTTGTTAATTGTGATTGAAGTCCTTGCATCCGTCAGCCAAAAATACTGAGATGTATCGGAAATGGAAACATCCTGAATTGACCCATGGAGTATTGAAAGGGTAAAGTAGGTTACTACTATAGATATCTATAATCAAAGGAAGTTTAGGGGGAGAAACTTCCGTGTTACGGACTTTTAGAATGTCAGGGAAAGAGTTAGTCAAAGAAAGAGTTAGTCAGGGAAAGAGTTAGTCAAAGAAAGAGTTAGTCAAAGAAAGAGTTAGTCAAAGAAAGAGTTAGCAAAGAAACAGTTAGTCAAAGAAAGAGTTAGTCAAAGAAACAGTTAGTCAGGGAAAGAGTTAGTCAAAGAAAGAGTTAGTCAGGGAAAGAGTTAGTCAAAGAAAGAGTTAGTGAGGGAAAGAGTTAGTCAAAGAAAGAGTTAGGAAAGAAACAGTTAGTCAGGGAAAGAGTTAGTCAAAGAAAGAGTTAGTGAGGGAAAGAGTTAGTCACAGAAAGGGTTAGCAAAGAAAGAGTTCGTCAGGGAAAGAGTTAGTCAAAGAAAGAGTTAGTCAAAGAAAGAGTTAGTGAGGGAAAGAGTTAGTCAAAGAAAGAGTTAGCAAAGAAAAAGAGTTAGTCAAAGAAAGAGTTAGCAAAGAAAAAGAGTTAGTCAAAGAAAGAGTTAGTGAGGGAAAGAGTTAGTCAAAGAAAGAGTTAGTCAGGATATATGAGGTAGTGAAAGAAAGAGTTAGCAAAGAAACAAGTTAGCCAAAGAAAGAGTTAGTGAGGAAAAGAGTTAGTCACAGAAAGAGTTAGCAAAGAAATTGTTCCCTCACTGTAAATGGGATTGCAAGTGGTGCTGGTGGAGGAGTGGCCGATGGAGTTTTGGAGGAAGTCTCGCACGAAATGCGTTTTTGAGAGATAGCAAATGCACGAAAGCCTATGTTTTTCCATACAAAGTCCGTCCCCGAACGTCGATGATCTACCTCTGCGGTGCGACGGGTGCGAGACGGTCTCGTGTGTGGTCGGATCATGCTCGGATATGTTCGGATCATTCTCGGATCGGTTCCGCATTGTAAATGGGGTGTCAACTGTTTTTCGTGCATGTGTGGTCGACAGAATTCCATTGTGATTTGCAACTGTAGGATCGTTCCCGCATTGTAAATGGGGTTGCAAGTGTTGCCGGTGGACGAGTTGCTGATGGAATTGCATTGTGATTTGCAACTTTAGGATCGTTCCCTCACTGTAAATGGGATTGCAAGTGGTGCTGGTGGAGGAGTGGCCGATGGAGTTTTGGAGGAAGTCTCGCACGAAATGCGTTTTTGAGAGATAGCAGATGCACGAAACCCTATGTTTTTCCATACAAAGTGCGTCCCCGAACCTCGATGATCTACCTTTGCGGTGCGACGGGTGCGAGACGGTCTCGTGTGTGGTCGGATCATGCTCGGATATGTTCGGATCATCCTCGGATCATTCTCGGATCGGTTCCGCATTGTAAATGGGGTGTCAACTGTTTTTCGTGCATGTGTGGTCGACGGAATTCCATTGTGATTTGCAACTGTAGGATCGTTCCCGCATTGTAAATGGGGTTGCAAGTGTTGCTGGTGGACGAGTTGCTGATGGAATTGCATTGTGATTTGCAACTCTAGGATCGTTCCCTCAATGTAAATGGGATTGCAAGTGTTGCTGGCGGATGAGTTGCCAATGGAATTCCATTGTGCTTTGCAACTGTAGGATCGTTCCCGCCATGTAAATGGCTGTGTCAAGGTTGCTTCGTGCTGTGGCTGCATTGGTAATACTATTGTCTTTTGCAGCTGGACTTTTTAAATCGTATTGGAGTGGCTGCATGAAGGCTGCGACACTGATTTGTCAGTAGATTTTCTCCATTTTGGCGCTAGTGATTTTCTTTCTAAAAATCCTTTTAAAAAGTGTTTCAAAATCGTTTTTTTTTCGCTCTGGCGTCGAGATCCGGTTTTGGAGCTACAATTTCCGACGCCGTTGTGTGTAGTTCTATTGTGTTTTGCAACTCAGTCTCTGCAGATTGCATTGTAGTGGCTGCGTCAAGGTTGCTTCGTGCTGTGGCTGCGTTCGTAATACTATTGTCTTTTGCAGCTAGACTTCGTAAATCGTATTGGAGTGGCTGCATGAAGGCTGCGACACTGATTTGTCAGTAGATTTTCTCCATTTTGGCGCTAGTGATTTTCTTTTTAAAAATCCTTTTAAAAAGTGTTTCAAAATCGTTTTTTTTTCGCTCTGGCGTCGAGATCCATCCGGTTTTGGAGCTACAATTTCCGACGCCGTTGTGCGTAGTTCTATTGTGTTTTGCAACTCAGTCTCTGCAGATCGCATTGTAATGGCTGCGTCAAGGTTGCTTCGTGCTGTGGCTGCATTCGTAATACTATTGCCTTTTGCAGCTCGACTTCGTAAATCGTATTGGAGTGGCTGCATGAAGGCTGCGACAGTGATTTGTCAGCAGATTTTCTCCATTTTGGCGCTAGTGATTTTCCTTCTAAAAATCCTTTTAAAAAGTGCTTCAAAATCGTCTTTTTTTCGCTGTGGCGTCGAGATCCGATTTTGGAGCTACAATTTCCGACGCCGTTGCGCGTAGTTCTATTGTGTTTGGCAACTCAGTCTCTGCAGATCGCATTGTAATGGCTGCGTCAAGGTTGCTTCGTGCTGTGGCTGCATTCGTAATACTATTGTCTTTTGCAGCTGGACTTCGTAAATCGTATTGGAGTGGCTGCATGAAGGCTGCCACAGTGATTTGTCAGCAGATTTTCTCCATTTTGGCGCTAATGATTTTCCTTCTAAAAATCCTTTTAAAAAGTGCTTCAAAATCTTTTTTTTTTCGCTCTGGCGTCGAGATCCGGTTTTTGAGCTACAATTTCCGACGCCGTTGCGCGTAGTTCTATTGTGTTTTGCAACTCAGTCTCTGCAGATCGCATTGTAATGGCTGCGTCAAGGTTGCTTCGTGCTGTGGCTGCATTCGTACTACTATTGTCTTTTGCAGCTGGACTTCGTAAATCGTATTGGAGTGGCTGCATGAAGGCTGCGACATGGATTTGTTAGCAGATTTTCTCCATTTTGGCGCTAATGATTTTCCTTCTAAAAATCCTTTTAAAAAGTGCTTCAAAATCGTCTTTTTTTCTGCTCTGGCGTCGAGATCCGGTTGTGGAGCTACAATTTCCGACGCCGTTGCGCGTACTTCTATTGCGTTTTGCAACTCAGTCTCTGCAGATCGCATTGTAATGGCTGCGTCAAGGTTGCTGCGTGCTGTGGCTGCATTCGTCTTACTATTGTCTTTTGCAGCTGGATCTCGTAAATCGTATTGGAGTGGCTGCATGAAGGCTGCGAAATGGGTTTGTTAGCAGATTTTCTCCATTTTGGCACTCGTGTTTTTTTTGTTGGACGTACGTTTAGAGCAGTGTGAAGTGGAAGTGTGGGGCGTGAAGAGTGCAGTGTGAAGTGTGAAGTGTGAAGGAAGCAGTGGGAAGTGGGAAGTGTGAAGTGTGGAGTGTGAAGTTTCAGTTTGGAGTGCGAAGAGCGCAGTGTGAAATGTGAAGTGTGAGGTTTGGAGTGTGAAGGAAGCAGTGAGAAGTGAGAAGTGTGAAGTGTGAAGTGTGAGTGAAGTGTGGAGTGTGAAGTGCGAAGTGAGAAGTGTGAAGTTTGGAGTGTGAAGTTTGGAGTGGGAAGGAAGCAGTGAGAAGTGAGAAGTGTGAAGTGTGGACTGTGAAGTGTGGAGTGTGAAGTGCGAAGTGAGAAGTGTGAAGTTTGGACTGTGAAGGAAGCAGTGAGAAGTGAGAAGTGTGAAGTGAGAAGTGTGAAGTGTGGACTGTGCAGTGTGGAGTGCGAAGAGCGCAGTGTGAAGTGCGAAGTGTGAAGTGTGAGGTTTGGAGTGTGAAGGAAGCAGTGAGAAGTGTGAAGTGTGGACTGTGAAGTGTGAAGTGTGAGTGAAGTGTGGGGTGTGAAGTGCGAAGTGAGAAGTGTGAAGTTTGGAGTGTGAAGTTTGGAGTGGGAAGGAAGCAGTGAGAAGTGAGAAATGTGAAGTGTGGACTGTGAAGTGTGGAGTGTGAAGTGCGAAGTGAGAAGTGTGAAGTTTGGAGTGTGAAGGAAGCAGTGAGAAGTGAGAAGTGTGAAGTGAGAAGTGTGAAGTGTGGACTGTGAAGTGTGGAGTGCGAAGTGCGAAGTGAGAAGTGTGAAGTGTGAAGTGTGAAGTTTGGAGTGTGAAGGAAGCAGTGAGAAGTGAGAAGTGTGAAATGTGGAGTGTGAAGTGTGAAGTCTGAAGTGCGAAGTGAGAAGTGTGGACTGTGAAGTGTGAAGTGTGAAGTGTGGACTGTGAAGTGTGAAGTGTGAAGTGTGGACTGTGAAGTGTGAAGTGTGCAGTGTGAAGTGTGGAGTGTGAAGTGTGAAGTTTGGAGTGCGAAGAGTGCAGTGTGCAGTGTGAGGTGTGAGGTGTGAGGTGTGGAGTGTCGAGGGAAGGACACGGTCGGGACAGGTTGTCTTTGAACTATAGGTCATTTATGTTTGGGAAACTTCCGCCGCCGGCTTGCCCGGGTCTATGTTATATTACCCATAGGATCCATGTATGCTACATATGGTAACATTTACCATCAATATACCCCAAATGTTAGCATATATAGCATACATGGATCCTATGGGTTATAGATTACTCCTTTGTTGTTTTCTTTAGGGTAACTCCCCGAAGGAATCAGGGATTTATTCATCTGGGGTTGACATCAAGTTGCGATGCCTCCGGGGCAATGATGTCACCCAAGAGGATAGTAATGGATAGTATCTGCGGGACAGAGTGGCACTTGAAG